CACACACACACACACACACATACTTATCTTTAATATCAATAAAATGAAAACTTCATAAACAATTATATCGAAAAGTCAACCCCTTATGAATACATCAAATTAAATATTAGAATGACTACGTAGGTCTAAGCTGGATCTTGGTTGCTTCTATACTTTCTGTTTTGAATTTAAATCTTAACTTCCAACGTAAACTGCGCGCTGATTACTTTTCGGTTTTAAAACACAGCTACTATTGGAATAATTCATTTAAATCAAATCATCTTTGAAAAAACTGAATATAACTTATTACCACAGCCTCAGTGGTTGAATTGGTAAGACGCTCGTCACGGAATGAATGGGAGGCTCCAGGGTCGAATCCTGGCTGGGGTAATATTTTTCGCAATAAGTTATATTCAGTTTTTTCAAAGATGATACTGATAAGCATCGTATTCTATATCGATTATTTGATTTAAATTAATTATTCCAATAGTTTTTTTTTAAGACCGAAAAGTAATCGACGCACAGTTTACAACGTTCGAAGTTAAGATTTAAATTCAAAACAGAAATAGAAGCAACTAAGATCCAGCTTAGACCTACATGGGGGAGGAGAGGATGGAGGTGGACAATACTGGGCTGCCAGCGAATCCTCCTCCCCCCCGGGAAGACGGCGGATCCCCCGCCCCAGGAAAAGAAGACCTGGGACGTCGTCACGCCGGGCGCGGCCGGCACGTCCCGGGCTTCGACGTCGGGGGTGGGGAGGACGCGGGCGGGGAAGAGGGAGAGGTCCGCTTCGAGAAATCGGGCCGATCCCAAAACCCCCGCGAAGGACTCCTCTTCACCGTCCCCCCACGCCCCGCGGAAACAGGCGGGGGAGCTTACGGGGGAGATGGTGGAGAGGAGGATTCGGGAGGTGGTCGGCGAGTCCTTCCAGAGGATGGAGGACTTGATCCGGTCCTTGGTCGGCGGCGGGGCCCGTGATAGCGGCCCTGCAGCGGGCCCCTCCGACTCTCGAAAGGGGGGAGGGGGCGCCGCGAGGGACCGCCCGGTTCCCGGGGCCGGCCAGGGGAGCGGATCCAAGGGGGTAAACCCCCCGAAGAAGGACGCGAATGCTGCTGGAGGGGCCAAGAAGAAGAAGAAGGGAAAGCCCCCCCCCCCAGCAGCAGGCGCAAGAGGTGAGGAAGGCGGATCCCCCGAAGAAGGGAGACGCCGGCCCCTCCCAGCCCGCCGCGGACGTCGAGACTTTTGCGACAGTGGTGGGGAGGAGAGCCAGAGCCGCGGAGAAGAAGGCGGCCAAGGGTGCCTCCAGGGCGGCTGCT